CTCCAAGCCCTGGCTTTATTTTCACACGGATATTGTTGTGTGCACACGTACTGCTTTTTGTTTTAAAGATCATGAGAAATTTGAGCTAAGTGACTTTGGGTTTTTTCTTTTTTTGGTACTAAAATAAAAATTATGTTTACAGAGAAAAAATATAGATTTTATAGGTGGTTTTTAAAGAAAAATAGTAACTCAGTGGATGAAAAGGACAGGAAGAATATTGTGTCCATGTAGATCGTAAATTGAAACAATGAAAACGTCTGGCAGGTGGTAGTTGCCGGTCGGCTGCGGGGATTGCAGCCCTGTGAGCTGTGTTCAGGGAAGCATGCCAGGACGCGGGCAGACAGAGGCTGGGCCTGGACTGCGGTGGCCTCGGTGCAGTCGACGGGGCCTGCGGGAATAAGTGAGAAGGTGACCGCAGTGTGGCAGGGCAGGGTCTTGCACAGGCCAAGCCCTCTCAGAGTCCTGGGCCTCGAGTCCCTCTTTCTCTGCTCCCTCTGCTGCAGCCAGGCTGCCAGCCTGGGGCTCATGGGGCAGTCGCAGGGCCGACTTCTGGCTGTGTTTCCAAGTGGCGAAGCATCATTAGCCCTAGTGTCAGGTTTCCCCTTGGAGAAGCCAGAGAGCAAATCTGACGCGTGAGAAGCCAGGGCAAACTCCCTGCTCAGTGCTCTGGGGACTGTCGGAGTCTTGGGCCAGAGGGAGGGAGGGCAGGAGTTTGGAGGTGCCTGCCTTCTGCCCGCCCACATGGTTTCCTCTGGTCCCTGGTGAAAAAGGCAGTGGTGGGTGGGCTGTTGGGCGTAAGGGGAGATTGGCCGCCTTCATCTCATTTCCTCTTCCATCCCTGTCCTACTGCCTCACTCCCACCCAGCACGCCAGTGCCTGAGAGTTGGGTTGTTTCAGCATCTGGTAACATGCAGACACTGCAATGGGAGTGGGGATGGGGGCGGAGGGTTGGCGTGGAGCTGCTGAGAGTTGGCGGGACATACATCTGCCCTCCCCTGCCTGTCTTTCCTGGGCACTTACGCCAGGCCAGGCTGGGACACCTGAAGAAGGAGCAGGCCTTCGCTCAGCGAGCCGTGAGTCCAGCCACAGGTGCTGTTTTAAAATGTAGGTTTTATTATTACCCAGGTATGATGAGGCTGACAGATCAGGAGTCGACGACCATTGAAAAGATAGTTTGTCGCTCACAGTTCCCGGGAGGAGGGCACGCCTGCCACCCAGGGCCACACGGGGAAGTGCCAGGGTGGTCAGAGGCAGAGGAAGCGAGGAGACAACATGGGCAAGAGCCTTCATTGCGGCCCACAGGGAGGAATGGGCGCAGCAGGTGAGCGGGTTTAGGATTGGCCAATTACAATAACTTCAGAAGGCTCTGAGGCAAGCGGCTGTCCTGAGTTGTCTGGTGCCTGCCCTGGGGAGATTAGGTCAGGGGTGGTGGCCCTGAGTAGAAGAGCCAGATAAAGGACTCCCCTCAGCGAGGGCGTGGGCCTTGGATTGATTTGGCTGCATTTGAAAATTGCACTCAAAGGGGAGTTGTTTGCTGTCTTTACGAATTAACAGATACCAGGAACTGCCGTCCCTCCAGGGTCAGCAAGGCCCTCGGGTGTGGAAATGTCAGAAGCACACGGTTGTTGCAGGTGCTGGTCCACCTGGGAGGGGGAACATGAAATGCTCAGGGCGTTCTGAGGAAAAGCAGCTTCTTGCTGTGGTTGATTTGGCTGCGTGTGTTTCTGAAGGGCCGTGCCGAGGAGGAGAGGAGCATCAGAGAAGTCTCCGTGAGGGGAGAGAGCTTTTGGCTGAGCCACCAAAAATGAGTCCAGTCAGACACTGGCAGCCGGGGGTGAGGCCGGCTACAGGCAGAGAGTCCTGCTTGGACAGACGCCCAGGATAGGAAGAGCATCTGAAGGGGTTTAGTGGGAAAGACGCCTGGAACACTCAAGGCAGGCCGAAGTGGGCTGCTGACTGCCAAGCTGAGGCGCTTGGATTTTATTTCGTATGAGCTGGCCAACGCTGTGGTGCACCCTAGGAGTGCTCCCAATAAATCCATAGACCCATGCACGGTGCCTGCGCTTGGCTGTACATCATAGTCGCAGAACATAATTAACAAGCTAGGAAGCCGATGTAAATTTATTCTGGATGAAAAAAAAAACAACACACACACATTGTAACAGGAGTTTAAAATCAGTGCTTCCCAGGCCAGGAGGTAGTGTCAGCAAGTGGAGGGGGCTCTGGGGACCTCAGGGGACAGCTGTGACTTGATGAAGGGGTTGGTGCCCCTGAGCTCTGGCAGATCCCACCATGAGAATCAGGTCCAGAGTTGCCAGATCTTCCTAGGGCTGGAAATTCAGATTCTTGTGAAATTTGATTTTTGTGAAATTGCCTGGTAACTTGGCAGTGGATCGGGAGGAGGTAACTCCGTCCTGTCAGCACAATGAAAGGCACTGTGAGGCCTGCCACGTGGACCTTCGGTGGCCTATTTCTGCTCTGCATCTGTCACCCCAATTGAGCTGTGAGGGTCAAAGAGGAAATGGGATTACTACACAGTGTGTCTACATTGGGAAACTGAGGCACAACAGGTCAGGGGTCAGATCTGGCATCCAAAAACCTTCCCTGAAGTCTTGAGTGGGCCACTTTGCTGTGCTTTACCTGCATTTCCTCGTTTGCAAATCTCGTCTATTCTTGCGTTCATTCAACGAATATCGAGTGTCTGTTGCGTACTAGGCCAAGGCAAAGCCTTCACTCGCAGAAACAAAATTTGATGGGATGCTATTTAAAACTGTATTGCTGTTGTAGTAATTTTTCAGCAAAACAAAAACTAAAAGATGCTGAGATCGATCTCTTCTGTCACCATATGGGTAAAGTGTCCTGAAATCACGCTCTGGCAGCACATGATGAAATGCTGGTGACTGACGGGGGCGGGAGCACAGGGCTGTGCCCAGAGCTCTCTCTGCACATGCTGCCTCGTCTGGGTCTTCTCCAGGTCCCTGGCTGTGTGCTCAGAGGCTGGGACTTGGCCTTCCTGACCCTGGGGACGCTTGGCACCTAGTGTGGTGCAGGCACAGAGCAGACACGCAAGGTCCCCCAGAGGAGTGGATTGCATGTGGCCGTGTCTGGTTTTGGTAGATAAGATTTTAGCCACAACGACCACAGGTAAAGCCACAGTATAACCCAGCATTTAACAATGGAATTTGTAAAATTACTATATTAATCAGCTCAGGCTACTATACCAAAATACCATAGAGTGAGTGGCTTAAACAACGGAAATTTATTTCTCACGGTTCTGGAGAGTGCAAGTCCAAAGTCAAGTTGCTGGCAAATTCAGTGTCTGGAGAGGGCTTTCTTCCTGACTTGCAGATGGCCGCCTTCTTGCTGTGTCCTCAGTGCATGCATGTGGAGAGAGAGGAATCACTCTCTCTTCCTCTTCCTATAACGTCACCAATCCTATCAGATTAGGACCCCACCCTTATGACTTCGTTTAACCTTAGTTACCTTTTAAAAGCCCTATCTCCAAATAGCCACATCGAGGATTAGGGCTTCAGAATTATTATGCATTTTAGGGGGACACAAATTCCATAGCAATTACCTAACATTATGATGACACCATTATTGGGTCCATGATTTTATTTTTGTCAGTTTCACCATGATTCTGCAAAAGCCGAGAGGTTTCCCTATAGGCTGTCAGGCCTCTCGTTTGGAGCCAGGCCCTGCCGTGGTTGAGTGTACACTGGGATCGAGGGGAGCGTGTGGATGAAGGGCAGGATGAAGTAGTGTTCCCAACCATCTGTGGGTCAGTTAGACTGTGCCTGGGGGAAGTCTGTGCTCTGAGAAAACAAGCCTGTGCTCACAGTGCTTGCAAGCAGCTGTCCCTGCGTGTGCTTCTTGTGTATATCCTCACAACCACAAGACCAGGTTGTGAATCCTGAATGCCTTATGCAATAAAAAGATTATGGTGCTTTTTACTCATTGCAGATAAAAACAATATTAAAGTATAAACTTATGTTTTAGAAAGTCTTTATCAAATACACAATTTTTAAAACAATTGTTAGTGCTTTCCTCTCTCTTTGAGAGGTTAATGGATATCCTCACCCCACTAGTGTCTGAAGCACAGTTTGCCCTGCCCTTTGGATAATACAGCACCATGCGTGCATGTATGTGCATGCGTGTGTGCATGCGTGTGTGCATGTGTGTGTGAGATGTTGTTCTTTCAGAAATCAACATTAAACTCAGAGCTGTCCAAAGTCAGGATAATGCCAAAAGCAGGATTGTAGAGCATCAGGCTATATGGGGCAGAGGGTGACCTCTACGAAAGGCCTGGACTCTGCAGTCTGCAGCTACGGGATTCTGCAGGATTTGTCCATGGGCATTGCCTGTGGGGACAATCCCGCACCACTTTATAAATTGCTCCGAGGAAAGCCTTGGTTCACCTGACACGGCTGCCTCAAAGTGCAATGCAGCTGCTGTCTACCTGGCACAGGGATTTAAGGCAGGAGGTGGAGAATGCCTTTTCCCTGCAGAATTGCAGCGGAGTTTAGGTGGGCGGAAAGTAATGACCCGCCTGTGAATCTGACAGGAGCACCCGGTTAACGTCGCCCTCCTTGTTGAGAATGTCCTTTTGAAATATGTTCTAGGGTATCGCTCCCATCCTATTAATTATGTCACAAACTTAGTAAAGCTGAATAATTAATGATCATAGGGCACTTGGAACTATAAAATGTCATGTAAATGTTAAGGAGTAAAAATTACTCTGTGTGTTAGATAGATAAGTTGCTTTAAAAATATTCCATGGTGGGAAGGTTAGTTAATTTCTAGAAGAGCTAAAACGCTTTCTGTTGGGCTTTCTTTAGACGCTGTGGATGTCCTGTTGTCTTAACCACAATGTAGGAGACTCAGGTTTCTGTATTCCAAAGTATTCGAAAGGCGAATGGCTGGCTGGCACTAAATTTAGCTCTGGAAATGAAGTTGCCTACTGGATTTTGGCAAACACTGTATCTGTTGATTCTCTCTAGCCGGAGACAGTTTGGGCCCAAAGCCAAGGAAGAGGTGAAGATCATTGAGCACCAAACGCAGACCCTTCGGCTGATGCCTCACCTGGCCACGGCCTTGGCTCTGACCTTCGCCAGCAGGTGAGATGGCGCTCGGGGCTTGCTCTCTCTCAACGTGAGTTGTATGCCCTGGCATTAATAAGGATTCAGAGGAGAGGTGGGCACAGGACTTCGCCTTCTAACTGTATCAGGAAAGAGTCTGTGGTTAAATCCAAAGCCCAGGTTAAAAGTGAGATCCGAATCTTGACAGTCTGTATATCGAGATGAATGGAATCCAGGGAATTTGAGAAGACCCAAACCAGCATTTCTCCAGAGTTTCTAAAAGTAACAGATTAAAACAGTTAAAATTTCTTTACCTTCTGATAAAGGTTCTAATTTACAGTAAAGTTTTCAGAAGTAGGTAAAGGAGTGTGTGCGTGTATATGGGGGGCTGGGAGGAGTCAGGGTATTGAATAGAACAGCAGTAAGTGCACATGGAAATTCGCGTTTTGTCAGCATGTGTGTTGTGCTGCTGACTTGTGAGTTGCCCAGCTGCTGCTGGCCTGGCTGGGCAGGGTTGGATGGGTAAACAATGTTATTACTGCACATGAGGCCATGCCACTATTCCATGGTGTACAAACTCTGAATCTTGCAGGCAGAGCTTCAGGTAAGAACACCAAGATCAATCCATGTCACCTAGAAGAAAACTTAAAGCACTTACATCCAACAGCTATTACTTACAGTGTTTCTGAATGTTTTTTGAGGTTTAATTTACATACAGTAAAATGCACAGATTTTAGTGTATAGTGCAATGAGTTTTGACACACATATACGCTTGTGTAACTAACACTGAAACCAAACATAAAACATTTCCATAACCCCTGAAAGTTCCCATAGGTCCCTTTATGGTTGACCACTACCTCACTGCCATAGTAGAGACAACCAGTTTTCTGATTTTTATTCCCATAGCTTAGTTTTGCCTGTTCTTGAACTTGATATAAATGGAATTATTAATACATGGTTCTTTTGTGTCCATTCTGTAATTTAACATGATGTCTTGATGTTCCTCAATGTTGTTAGTAGTTTAATTTTTATTTCTGAGTAATAACGTGAAATGAATAAACCACAGTCGGTTTATCTATTCTTCCACTGATGGACATTTGAATTGTTTTCAGGCTTCTGACTACTATGAAAAAGCCTAAGTGAATATCCTTGTACAAGTCTTTCATTTTTCTTAGGGTAGATACCTAGAGAGGACTTACTATAGGTAATTTGGTAAGTGTATGTCTAACTCTATAAGAAATTGCCAATTTTTCAGACAGGTACTATCATTTTACACTCCCCCAAGCAATGTATGAGAGTTTCAGTTGCTCCACACCCTGACCAATATTTATTTAAGTTCTTTCTTAATTATAACTGAACTAGTAGTTATGAAATGGTATCACATTACAGTTTAAGTTCACACCTACCTGGCAGCTAATGATATTGAGCAATTTTTCACATGCACATTGGCCATTGTATGTCTTCTTTGTGAAGGATCTGTTTAAATCCCTTGCATACTTTTCTAAATTGGGTTGTCTTTTTATTATTGACTTATAAGAGTTGTTTATATATTCTAGAAATAAATTCTTTGTCAGATATACTTATTGAAAATATTGCTGTCCAGTCTGGGTTTTGCCTTTTTATTTTCTTAACAGTGTTTTTTGGTGAGTAGAAAATTTTAATACGGATTAAGTCTAATTTATCCTTTTTTGTTCCTTTATGGTTATTGCTTTCTATGTCTTTTCTAAGACATTTTTATAATTATAGCTTTGTAATAAGTCTTGAAATCAGGTAGTAGTTCTGGTTATACAGAAATAAAAAGAAATATAAGAGAATACTATTGGCAATGGTATGCCAAAAAATTAGGTGACATGTGAAATGAAGTCCTAGAAAGAAACAAATTACCAAAAATTAATAAAGAATGAGTAGAAAATCTGAATAAACCTATAACAAGTAAAGAGATTGGATTAATAATTTTAAAACTTCCCACAAAGAAAAGCTCAGGTCCAGATAACTTTATTGGTGAATTCTACCAAATATTTTAAATAAGAATTAATATCAGTCCTCCACAAACTCTTCCAAAACATAGAAGAGGAGAAAACACTTCCCAAGTTTTTCTTTGAGGCCAGTATTACTTAATACCGAATGAAGCAAAGACATTAGAAGAAAACTGTAGACCAATATCACTTATGAATATCAATGTAAAAGTCCTCAACAAAATGATAGTAAATTGAATGCTAGTAAACATATGAAAAGGATTATACGCATGTCCAAGTGAGATTTATCCCAAGAATGTAAGGTTGGTTTACCATACAAAAAAAAATCAAATATAACACACCATATTAATAGAATAAATTTTAAATCACATAATCATCTCGATAGATACAGAAAAAGCATTTGACAAAATCCAATACCTTTTCATGATAAAAACACTGATATTTTGAAGGTTTTTGTGTTGTTTTTGGTGCATACATAGAATTGTTATTTCTTCTTGGAGAACTAACTGTTTGTCATTACGTACTTTCTTTCTTTATCCTTGAAAATATTTCTTGTCCTAAAGTCTATTTTGTCGTGTTAATACAGTTACTCCAGGTTTGTTTTGTTTAGTAGTTTTCATGGTATATGTTTCTTCATATTTCTATTTTAACCTACCTATATCATTAAAGTGGGTTTCTTGTAAACAACGTATAATTGGATCTTGCCTTTTTATCCAATTTGACAATCTCTGAATTTTAGCTGTTGTGTTCAGACCAATTGCATTTGAAGTGATTATTGATATGTTTGGATTAAAATGTATCATATTGATTGCCGATTTTTATTTTTTCCATCTATTTATGTTTCTTTTTTCCATTTTCCTACCTGTTCTTGAGTGGATTGAACTTTATTATTCCATTTTTTCACTTTTATTGACTTATTATTATACTTCTTAAAAATACTGTAATTGTTGACCCAAGATTTACAATATCCATCTTTAATGAATCAGAGACTACCTTGAAATAATATTATATTTCTTCCCATGTAGTGTAAGGACCTTAGACAGTGTTTTTCCAATTCCTCCCCCCATCCTTTGTGCTATTGTTGTCACATAATTTGCTTTTAAATACGTTGCAAACACACAATACATTGTTATTCTTTTTCTTTTACATAGTTATGTTTTAGAGCAATTAAAAAGAAGCAAAATTGAATTTTATTTTACCTCAATTTATCCCATTTCCAACATTGTTAATTTCTTTGTGTAGATCCAGGTTTTTAACTGATACCATATTTGTACATATTTAACATTTTTTGTGGAATAGGTTTGCTAGCAATGAATTCCCCCCATTTTTGTTTTTTGAGAAAGTCTTTATTTCTCCTTTTTTTTTTTTCTTTAAAAGACATTGCCAATAAGTACAGAATTCTGTGCTGATAGTTTATTTTTCTTTTAGCACTTTAAAGATGTCATTCTACTGACTTTTAGATTTCTTGGTTCTTGTAAGAAAACAGCCATCATTCTTTTAGCTATTTCCCTCCTTGTGCCCTCATGGTCTCTGGCCTAGCTCAGCGTGCTCAGGTAGCTCTGTAGCTCCTCCCCTTCCTTCTCCTTCTTTCTTTCCCTCTGTCCTGGCTGCCCTCACAGCAGGGAGGTAACCTGTGGAAAATCTGGTCACAGGAATCCTGGGGAAGGCAGTCAGAGGAGGAGGTTATCTCTATTTTAAAACAAGCCCAGGGAGAATTTGGCATTTTCTGTGGCATATTCTGGATTTCTTGTTTCTTTCTGGTTATTGTCCCTGCTGTTTCTCCTCCAGCTTGTGAGGAAACAGTTTCATAAATTTAGTTGTATCATCAGAAAATTTTATGCTAACTACCTCTCCTTACGTGCCTTTTATTTTCCTTTTTTTTTTTTTCTCTCTACTAAGGTGATCAACCCTTGGTTATAGGTCCTATCTCCCAATTTCCCATGGACATAAGCTGCTAGTCACCTGCCTTCAAAGTCCAGGGTCTGGGTGACTGCAGATTTGACTGGGTAGATGTTTATTCAATGCATTCAGTCTTGCCCAAGTGTGAGGGGAGTCCAGAGTTTTAGGGGTAGGGTCTAGAGTTAGATTAGCAGGAGAAACAGGCGTCCTGCCAGGGTCAGCTGCTCCTGCCTCTCCTCCCATTTTATGTGACAAAAACGTGAGTAGTCAGATGTCACTTTGCAGTGAAAAGGCAGGTAATAGACATGAGCGGGGATGGCTCTTTCAGTGCACATGTGTTTATATTCAGCAACTGCAGGACACCTTGCCAGTAGGGTTGCCAGGTAAAATGCAGACACCTAGTTACATTTGAATTGCAGATAATCAGCACATAATGTTTCACTCTATGTATAGCATACTCAAACTAAAAATCATGCATTGGTTACCTGCAATTCAGATTTAGTGGGGTGTCCTCTATTTCTATTAAACCTGGCAGCCCTACTGGCTAGGCCCTGTATGTTTGCTGGGGCTTGAGTCAGATGTGGTCCCTACCACATGGCTCTTACGATGCCTGCCTGGGATCTGACAGTAGCAGGTCGGCCAGCAGGCCTGGTTCAAGGGGAGGCTTTATCCCCTTTATTCCCCATCTGCCTCCATGGCTAGAGGCAGGGAGGACCTGCTGGGCCTCGTGGAGCCCACCCCTCCCCCCACCTCATACTACTCATATTCTCTTGCTCTCAGCCAAGGAGGATAGAACCTGATGTCTTTGGGAGTCTGTTTGCCCTTGGAAGCGATGGGACCACTGGCTGCTCAACGCTGGGCAGTGCAGCTTGGTGAGGAGAGAGCTGTCTCTTGGGGGCTTCAGGGAGAACAGCACAGCAGCACCGAACGGGGGAGCCCCGAGGAGCCAGCCAGGGCGTTCCGCACTCATCCTCTCCAGAGTTGGTGTGGCCCTCCCCTCCTGCCTTCGTCACAACCCCTGTGCCCCAGATGCCTCTTCAGGCCCTGAGGATCCTGCAGCCACATGGTCACAGCCTGCCTGGGTGGCACCTGCCGCCAGGTAGGATTCCTGCTTTCTGTCTTTGGTCATGGGCGCCTGTGCTTGGGGTCAGCTTCTTAGCCTCA